CTTCTAAATCATGCGTCGTTCAGCTGTCAAACTCCAAAATATGCAAAAGAATGAGAGACAAAAGAAAATAGGATATAACCCTGTAAGCATTAAAAATATACAAAGGTGTTCTCTGTAAAAGGTATTCAGCTCCTTTTCTTCGCAAAACAGAAAGGAGAATTCTACTGCCTGAGGGTTATAATCCCTAAGTGCGGCCGAAGGCCGCCTACGTAGAAAGGTGTTCTCTGCAAAAGGTGTTCAGCCCCCCCTTCGTAAAGTGGCGACTGCCCCCTTTCGAATGAGGGGGGTTTGGGGGCCACGCCCCCGCCCCCTCCGCCCCCACCCCAAAAACGATGGGCCAATAACTAAACATTTCCCATGTCCGCTCTTGCCCACACCGAATGATGGGCATTTACGCCGGATCCAACTATAAGCGGTTGCTTCCTATTGCCACTTGTACCAGTCTATGAAGCTGCCTCGGCGGTGCTTCCATGTCGTGGGCCATGTAGCAAAACGAAACTAGCAGCGATTCATCGTTGACGTCCTTTAGCTATCAATAAAAAAAGCGCAATTTTTCTTTACCATAACTGCCATTCTTACCTTATTATGCGCGTTGGGAAAATATATAGTGTAGTTTTCCTACTTGAGGCTGCCCGAAGCGAGCCGAAATTCCTGGACTAAAGCCGCATCGTCGCTGGCCCCTTCTAAGCTGAGGAGGAGCTCGGATGAAGTGATTTTATTTGTATGGAGATTTATTTGAATGACCTTAGGCATTACATTCCGGCTCCTTCTCTGGGTTGGACACAGTGTCCATCTCACCTCGCTGCGGTGTACTACCTCGAGGTATGCCACCTTCCATAGGTCTTTACCCATGCTGAAGAGAGATCATCCTTACAACTTATGATTTTGACGCCGCTGAACCACCTTATTTCGTCAAATGTCGGAAAGGCGCATTCAACTCCGCGTCCATTTTCGCGAATAACTTTTAAGCAGCTTCATTTCCACTTCCTTCCACCCATTTCCACTACCGCGGCCAGATGTCGCTTGGCAATCACATTGGTGGCCGCCGCTGCCTTGGATGTAGAGTGCTTCTGTATGATCTGTATGACGTTTGGCCTCGTAGCATCATCCCTACATTTATGTTTCTTAAAAGACCGCTGGCTTTTGCTCGCCTGCGCCGCCACAATCCGCTGCTCGACCCGGTTTGCGAACTTCGGACCCTTAGCTGAGAATTGTGGCTTGACAGCGTAGTACGCTCGGCCGTTCTCTACCTGCTCCCAAGCCCAAGGCAACCTTTTTTCCTTCTCCTCCTCCTGTGTCCGGTTGGACCTATCGCTAAGTCGGTCGCAGATCTTGACGGCAGCCGTATATCGCGCCTTAGCTTTCAACCCCTCCTAGATTGGCCTCGTCTTCCGTTTTGCAGCACTAAAATGCAAGCAACATGTAAACACAGAACAGCTGATATGCACTTCGACACTTTAACCGCTTTTACCCCGAAAAAAGTCCGGGCTGTTTCGGGCAGTAAGAAGAAGACATCTAGAATCAAATTCGTTCCAAATTTCGCTCTATACTTATTTATTACCCATTTTTTAAGTACAGGAATTCGTTCCAAATTTCGCTCTATACTTATTTATTACCCATTTTTTAAGTACAGGAATGATTTCTGGGCTGTTCAGGGATCCTGAGGGATACGGGAAAGAATCATGAACGAAAGACACAAGATCACGCGGGAAGGAAAGAACGAAAAAAGTTATTTTCTAGCTGCCGAAATCTCGACGCCATCTTTGTTGTAAGAAGTAAACAACGAAGAGAACGGAGAAAACCGCGAAATTGTTGAACGCATGAAAAATCATTTTTATTATGCAAATTCTCATAAAAATCATGCCGTTGTGTTAAATTATTCTTTATCTTATGTGTACACACGTTCTCACAAGCGAAAATGAAGAAAATTGCAGTAAAAAGCCACCATCAAATTGTAAACAACGAAGAAATGTAAATAAACGGCTAATGTCAAAATCGTTTAACTTTTTTCCTTAATGCGATTCTAACGGGCTACTCTCCTGCCCGCGTGATCTTGTATTTTTGGTTCATGGGAAAGAGTCTTATATGACGTCACACTTCCGCAAATTGTTTACGTTTCTATTGCAAAATTTCTTCTTCCTTTTGCATTCTTTCTCGCTTTTTGACATTTTTCTCACACACACACACACAAAATTATTCTCAAAGAGTCTTTTAACCCTGGAAGTGCTTCGCTCTTTTGACCCTGAGTCGAAACGACTAACACCAACTTTGAATTGAAATAACCAAAGAAGATAGATAACAAGAAGGGACAACCCGTTATAATTGTGGCGAAAGTGCGCAACAGGGACGTGTCTTCTCCTTTCATCCAATCAAAAAACGCACTAGGGCAGAAGAGAAGGCATGCCCCTGTTGCGCACTTTCGCCACAATTATAACGAGTTGTCCTTTCTTGTTATCTACATTCTTTGAAATAACAAACATAAAAGAGTTAAAAACGAAAATACATTTTATGAATTTTAGTTCTTTATAGTTTTTCAAACACATAAACAAAATATTAAATACATATTATTTTCTCTGTTACATATAATAAACAAAATGGTAAATGACTTTAGAGAGAGATACGAAGCGAAACACGATTTTTGTTAGTCGGATCGACTAACGAAGCACGTCCAGGGTTAAACCACCTGGGAGCCCACAATAACGTAACGCTGTGGTGGGTTCCGGTACATGAAGGGCTTGAAGGCAACAAGAGGCCAGAATGTCTGGCAAATCGTGGAGCCCAAGTGCACTAGCGTGGTACCGAGCCTTTTATGACTGCCCACGTATCATAAATAGCACACTGATACACCATGGGGAACGACTGTCTTCTCCGTGCAAAATTTGGAACATCGCACCCTCCAAAAAGCCTAACTTCTGGAATAGTGAATAGTGGAGTGATTTCAATTAGCGTTTAGCACAATGGATATTTTAAGGTCATAGCTCGAGTATTCCGGACGTAATAATAATAATATGTATGTGTAGGCATACGGTACAGTAATATGAATTGTTATACGTAGCTGATTAGTTTTATTGTACCCAGGGCCGGTTACTCAATGTCTGGTTAACACTTATCTCCGGTTAAACATAGTTATCCACGTTACCGACTCCCTGTTATATGCATGGAGTCGAAGACGTCGATAACGATGTTTAACCGCAGATTAGTGTTAACCAGACATTGAGTAACCGGCCCTAAATAGTTGTGTTTTACTCGCTAACCAGAATGTAATACCACAGCCACAAACTATTTCGTTAGCTACATCAGCAATATTACACCACAACCGCAGCTACATATTGTGGGCATTTTAGAGCATTTAGGGCCGGTTACTCTGCGGTTAAACATAGTTATCGACGTCTTCGACTCCATGGATAGAACAGGGCTACTTTGAGGCACGCGATTTTTGAATCACCATTTAGCCGAGCGATTTTTTTTGGAGCAATGTTGAACCGCCTAGAAAATCGCCTCATGCCAGCAAGTCAACTTTTGCAGGCGTTATCGCCTGTCAAAAAATCGCCTCATGTAAAGGCAGCTTTACAGTGTAGGAAAAAATTTCGAAGCAAAATTTGTCTTATCCGCTTTCTTCACGTGCTGGAAAATCACGCTAAGGGCCGGTTGCTCAAAGCCTGGTTGACACTAATCACCGGTTAACATCGTTATCGACGTTTTCGACTTCATGCATATAACACGGTGTCGGTAACGTCGATAACGATGTTTAACCGGGGATTAGTGTCAACCAGGCTTTGAGCAACCGGCCCTAAATGTTGGCTGGCGACCAACTTTGTTGAAAGCGATTAGTTGAAAGGCCGTTCAATCAAAAGTAGAATGCAAAGTTAAACAATGGAATTTATGGTGAATATTTTTATATTTTGATATTTAGAGCCATTCAATTTTTTTTTCGTGCAACCCTGTGTGAGTTGAACGCAAAAGTTGAACGAAAAATCGTCTGGAGCGAACGGCCTTTTACTATGCTGCTATAATTGCAAATGCAATAGAATCCATCGTTTCTTTCAAAATATATAAAATCAAACAATTTTACAATAAATAAGCACTTGATAAATGTTTTTTAATTACTTTCCACTTTGTTTTCCTTCATACAGATGTCTTCGAAAAACAACTGATAGCTGGCAATGCTGCACAGGTTTCCGCAACGATTGCAGCATGTCGATTTTTCGTTTTTCGTAATGTAGCTACGAATTACGAATTATGAAAATTCGGGTTCTGGAATAAGGGGTTTTATCCCGCTTGCGAGATAAAAAAGGAGAACGCAAGCGAGATTTTGAAGTATGTGAAGACAGCCGGTAGGTATCGGGTTTCGATACGAGTATTTTTCGATACCTACTCTGCATGAACGAAAGACACAAGATCACGTAAGAACAAGAGAGTGAAAAAAGTCGAATTTTTTAACGGGTTCTACGCTATCTTGTTTCACTGGAAAACGAGCGAAAAGTAAACAAAGCAAAGAAAACAACGAAAACCAAAATTAGCCAAAATTATTGTCAGCCACTTTAAACGCACAATTTAGGTAAAATGATGCAACAAAATGCCTTAAAATGTGTTGTCATGTTGAATTAACTCTTCTTTACTTGAATAAAAGTGTAAAATAGTGGTGCTTGTGATGTAAACAAACGCTCAGCTGACGAACCCGCTTTCGCAAACTTTTTTCTCAAAACCAGTTACAAATACAACGTCGCGTTCTTACGTGATCTTGGCCCGAAGTCATAGTCAAAATAAAGTCGACTTTAAAGTTAGTTGCAGCTTTTTTGACAGATATCCCATTGAAAATTATGTCAAAAAGCTGCAACTAACTTTAAAGTCGACTTTATTTCGACTATGACTACGGGCCCTTGTATTTTTGGTTCATGCCTACTCTGTACTTGGTCCAAAAATATCGATACCAAAGTTACTTTGTATCGAACGAAAAGTATCGAGCGTGTACTTGTATTTACTCGTAACGTTTCATCTCTAGCTGCATCAGCTGTTCGCGTTTTTGTTTACAGCCGGCGCTTTTGATTCGGAATTATTGTTTTGTTTCAGTATTAATTATTACTAGGCTTTTTTTCAATTTCTTAAAAGCTAGAAAAATTAAAGTTTCTAAACAAATTACATATCTGCCACAAAATTAGCGAACAAAAAGATATCGTACCTCACAATGAGGAAAAAACGACGAAAGAAAAATCTGATACGGGCGATATGCCTCCACCAAGTTCTCCAATGTCTGCTGACAGTGAGTTGGACATCACCAGCGAAAAGTTTGACCCATTACGCGCGCTATATGCTCCAGGATACTGCATTAGTGAAAAAAAGCCAAAAGTAATTTACCAAAATTTGGCTGCTTTTGAAAGTGCACTTAAACGTTTCGGTATTATGAACCTTAACAAGCGTAATGCACCAACTGTAAACCAAAACATACCAAAAGAAGATGGTGGTTCAAGTACATCGAGCGTTAAGCCAAGTATTTCTAAACAAAGACCAATACCAATAATCCCCGAAGAGACGCAGCAACGTCGATTCCAACCACATCAAATGCCTATTAAAGGAAGTGCACGCAAAGTAAAGGATATGCATAATATGTTTACATATCTGGATGGAGTGCCTGGACCAATGATAGCATTAAAGCATTCAATGAAAGGACAACGTCGTGTGCGTGTGTTAGTGCGGAATGAACATGGCATACGTGGAAGTTTGGAAGGGTGGCTTATATGGTTCGACAAGTTCTGGAACTTATGGCTACGCAACGTAGATGAAGTATGGCAACGTCGTAAATACAAATATGGCGAAAATAAGGTCTGTGGTGAACCGCGAGATTGCAGTTTGAGATTACATGAGCTTGGTATTGAGTTGCCGCGGCAGCAGGTGAGGAGCATCAATAGAAAAACTGTAGAAATCCGGAGGCAGTTGCCGCAACTTTTCGTGCGCGGCGAACAGGTAGCTTTAGTGATATTATCAGAAAATGTAGCGGCAACCGAAACTGATATGTGAAATATGTTTTGAAGGATACCTACTTCTAATTAATCTAAGAAACTAAAGTGAATTATAACGTTTGTAAAAAATGTACACCTTTATTTCAGTAACTGAATTTTTCACATTGCTGCTACATATATTTATGTATTTTAAATCTAAATAAAGTACAGATTAATTCATTGTAGAATTTCAGGAATTTTGAAAACTTTTCTCACGACTTCGAAATTTTTTATATTGTAAATGCGACAGCGCGGTGGCTTTTCGCCTCCGAGAGCTAGTGTGAACGGATCCTCTGGACATTGTTTCATGCATTGTAACCGGCCCATTTGGAAGTCATGTGAATAAACTTCCTTGATGGCACCAATATTGAAGTCCCAGACTTTCAACATGCCATCAGTTGATGTTGAAGTCAACAAGTTCGTTACTTCTTTATTGAAGCAGACGCCGATATTTCTTCCTCATGTCCCTTAAAGGACCACAATAGTCTATCTGGCTGCCTACGGTCTGCATAGTGAATACTTCCATCGTTTGATCCAACGACGAAATAGTTTGTATCACTTGGATTCCAGAGTACTTTTTCTACTTCACCAGGTGTTTTCCATTTAATATAATCACTATCTACTGCATCAGCATTGCGGCAATCAAACAATCGTACAATACCATCAGCACTGCCTGTTAAAAGACTCTGCGCTTCGTCAGGATGAAACTCAATAGATTGAACCTTTTCCTCGAATGCAGTTATTGTAGTATGTGGTTGCCCTTCATCTAAATCCCATAGGATAAGGGTCTGATCCACAGAAGCACTGGCGAGAATATGCTCAAAATTACGATTCCAAGCTAGATCTAAGACTGCATCTGTATGGCCATAAGCTTCTTTATGCTTCTTACGACTTCCTTTCGATCCCAACTTAAATGTAGGCTCCATTGAATCTTGTATATCCAAATCCCAGACTGTGATTACAGGATCCATGCAACCAATAGCGCACATGTTACCTGGTTGGTCACTACCTGGATCGTGATTCATCCATTCTATGCATAGCGGAAAACTAGGAAGAATAAAATCATGATGTGTATACAAAGATTCCTCCCCTTGGTTAAACACCCAAACTTCCATAGATGCGGCATCGTCCTGTACGTGTCCTACCAATATTAAATTGTCAGTTGGCTTAATGATTTCATCTTCAGCCTCGGAATCGTTGTCATCATCCGGAAGCTGTTCTCTGGGGTCAACCACAGCGCCAATAACCGCGGAATTCGCAGCTCCTTCATCGTCGTAATTATCGAACCCAAATTCATCACCGGGATTACGATTAGCAGCGCTTGGGGCCGATTCGTTATCTACTTCCATTTCATCTTCGTCGTCGTCATCCTCATCGTCTTCCTGGAGAGTATTTCTTGTTTCTTCAATGATGCGGGCCAATTCCGACTGTGTGAGCACGATTTTTTCAGGCTGTTCTTTAGCAACACCGCGCGGTACGAAGCAAAGGGCGGGCACAAAATCAATGTTGGCTTGCGGCGGTCCATCCTCTTCCATATTTTCAGGATTATTATTTCAAGTTCAGTATCAAAAAATCCCGAAAATTAATTGAATGAAAAATATACGAAATCGACCGGCTGTGGAGCAACGTAAAGAAAACAAACACGTGGCTGTCAAAATAAAAACTGACGTTTGGCAGCGGTTTGCGTACGTGCTTGGATGTCTTCGGAGTTAATAGCGGTATTCACCCAGGAATGATAGCATACAAGAGCTTTGTTTCTTTACTTTTATAGCAGATATGAGTTGCGTCATGGTGAAATGAACTGAAGGTGGCGCATTCCCGAAACCGCTACTTTGGTTTTGCCGACTTTGACATTTATGGCAATACGTAAACAAACTTTTTGTTTAGAAACAAGTGCAAACGTATTGTGTACTTTCAAGTGAAAAATCGAAATAATTCGTTCGTTCTGAAGTAAAAAACGTTTTATTTGTAATAAAAACTTTATAAAAATGTCGTGTCGTGTGTTGAATTGCAGCAGCCGTAGGGATTAAGCCCCCAAATGCAATTGCTTTTTGTTTCCCCGCGACGACGCCTTGGCCAGAAAGTGGGTAAAGTTCTGCCGGCAGGAGAAGCCATACAATTTAGACACCAGCGTAATATGCATGAAGCACTTTACGGACCACTTTTAAACACGACATGTTAAGTTGAAAACGTTGAAATACCACAAATTACAAATTAAAATCGGAGGTAAGCAAGCATCGACCACTTTCTGCAGGAAAACATGCGCTGCGACAAGATATTATCACTTTTTTGGCACCTGCAATACAAACACAAAAATTCTAAATAGTTAATTAATAAGACCTATTCTTTTGAACACATTTCAAGAGTGGTTGTATATTTTTTGTTAACGTAGTGCTTAATTTGCCATATTCAAAGATGGCTTGCGAAATTGGTGAATCGAGAAGGAAACACATTTTCCCACTGCAAATTCACAACTGTCAACTCATTGTTCTTCGCCATATTCTTTGTTTACCCGTTGCCACAAATGTCATTCTGCGGGAATGCGCAATCTTGTATTCTATCGTTCTTGCATGCCACCCATATATTTTATCGCACACTTGCACGATTCCATCGCTGCGAATTTTTCGAACATTCAATGTTCCTCTCTTTTGACGCGTTCAAAACCCGGCTTGCAGCATTTTGAAGGCGTCAAAGAAGAGCAAGAAAGGTGTCAGCAATAAATTAAAAAAAAAACCTGTGATGTACGAAAACTAATATAACACGTTCGTAATAATACTATTTTGTACGATTTGGACACACCGAGTGCAAAAATACAGAAAAAAGGGAAAACTGAGTGAATTGTACATCGGAATTCGACGCGATCGCAAGTGTGCGCACGTTTGCGGATTCGAAGTTAACAACCGAATTCTCAACGTATTCGCAGCGATAGAATCTCAACGTATTCGCAGCGATAGAATCGCGCTTCACTTAATGAGAAAAAGTGGCAACATTGCTTTTTCGAGTATACTGTTGTNGACATAACCACCTCCGAGCAAACTAAGCAGTCGCCATTTAATTTGGCAAACAAAATTTTGTCTGCATAACACCGACCTTAAGCAAATTCGACATCGATGTGATGCTGATAGAAATCTGGATCATTGTGATCAACACTGTTTGTTTTGTTTCCTAATTAGGTGAGGAAATTTTAATTGACAGCACCGACAAATGAATATATACACAAACAAATGTTCGGTTATGGTTAAAACAAGTCAAGTTGTTGTGTTGAATTTTTGGTTTAATTAAACCACGTTTCCCATCGAAAAATTGAATATTAAGAAAATTTACTCTATGACAGTTTCTTTTATCTTCCTATTCGGATTTGTTTACTTAATCGCCGCCGGGATCTCGCACTTCTCAAACAAAGTTTGGTAAACTTTCAAATAACAAATATGTAATCACAGCGAGTATGGGATCAATTTCAAGTAAAATATGGTAAAAAATTGTAAGTTCGGGCTGGGTACGGAATCAGGCCTACTGTTCGAAGAACAAATAAATATCGCAAAATTTTTATGGAAAGTGGCTTTAGATAAAGCATTCGAGGCGAGGTAATGAATAAAAAGACGAATTAGATATTGAAATTGAGGATGATGATCGAATTTTCCTAGGACCGCAATCACTTCTGACTATCAAAAAATTACTTCTATAAACTGATTCTGGACTTAAATTGAACCTGGTACCAATGCCCGATTTCAAAATTGAAATTTGTTGAGATATATCTCAGGGTAAGCCTAGACCTACTTGTATAGTTCCTGCTAGTTTTCGACGACCTGTTTATGAGATGCTTTATAATGCTGCACACTGGACTAAATTTTGTATGCCTCCCCAATTCCCCCGTCCGAAGATTGCACTTATCTCTTAATGGTGATAGAGCCGTTGATCAGCGACGCTTCTTTCAGTAAGCTCGGATTACTTTTACCACCTGAAGAAGCAGAGCCCCTATTTGCAAACCTTGCTTCTCTCGGTGAGTTAAGCTCATCTGAATAAATTGAATAAACCGTAGATTGCTTTACTAATGCCTGTAATATGGCCTTCTCTGCGTCCTGCCTAATTGCACTTCCGAGAGGAAAGAGGAAGCCACACTGGTTCCGAGAGTAAATAGCCTCTTTAAGGAAGAAAACCAGGAAATTCTTCAATGTGGCAAAGCGTAATGGTTCTTGGTCTGCTTACAAAGCAGCCCTGAATAAATTTAAGTATGCCACCAGGAAAGCCCAAAGGGACTCCTGGAAGGATTATTGTGACAGCATAGAAGAACAGGCGGAGGGTTATCGCTTGCGAGAAGTGCTTGCCGAAAATCCTACGAACCCAATGTATATTCAGAAGCCGAATGGCGACAGTCATCCCAAGAGAAAATGCTTTAGGTTCTAATTAGTGCACAAGTTCCGGGGTATACTGGGGAGCCTGGCGTCGCTGTCATCCCTCTGGATGCTCGTTGGAATATTTGGATTTTATTGATGTTAAAAGGGTGGAATGGGCTATAAGGTTATACCAGCCCTAAAAATCTTCAGTCAACATCCGACATTTTATGTCCGATGCTCGTCTCAATTTATAAGGCTTGTCTCAGGCTTAGTTTCATACCCAACAACTGGCGGGGGTTGTGGTTATTCCTAAGGGCGGCACCCCGCAAGGCGGTGTCATCTCCCCACTCCTGTGAAATTTAAAGGCTCATACTCTGCTGTCACGGCTGCAGAGCACAGGTTGTCAGGTCATTGCTTACGCTGATAATCTGGCCCTGATGGCAGTAGGTAAGCATCCTCAAGTTCTATTCGACCTGGTCCAATGCGCTTTACGTGTTGTGGAAACCTGGTCAAAGGAATCTAGCCTTATAACATGTCCCCACCAAAAAGTTAACCATCTCAAATCGAACTTAACCACATCACTAACTATTGCTGTCCACACTGCGGTTTGAAGTTTATAAAGCAGTACAAATGTAGAGAACAGTGTTCGGACTCCAACTCGATTCAGGACTAAAAATCTGAGCAAAAACAAATTTTCCGTACTAGATTGAATTTTTTATTTTCGTTTCTGACATTAATTGTTTGACTTAAATATTTTCTATTCTTGCAAAAATAAGAACGCGAGGCAATGTAAGGATAATATGTTAAATATTTAGGTAATATTTAGCATTTTCTATGAAGTAGAACGATTCTAA